AAAATAAAAAAAAAAATCACGGTTTTAGTAACGCAGTAACGCAGCGTGCTTATGGGAAAGTAACAGTAATCTAATTACCTTTTTGCAATAGTAATCCATTACTTTACTCATTACTTGAAAAAGTAATCAGATTACAAGTAACGCGTTACTGCCCATCTATGTTTGAGACTAAAGACAAAATTTCAAGAATAAAGTCGTAATTCTAAGCAGCTGTATCCTCTACAAAACGCCTCGTATAGATGACTGAATTAAACAAACTGATCAGCTGTCCTGTGATACAACGTACATCCCCGATAACCTCGGCTCTGTTCACTACGCGCCATTTCATTTTGTACAAATCCACTCTTTGGAGTTTGTGTGTTTTTACGTTTGACCAGATGCAGCTTTCCGCACCATCTTTTCAACGTCCTTATACGGATCACCACACTGTGTTAATGTGCTAAAAGAGAAAAAAAAATGTGCTAAGAGAGAAACATTTACTTCCTTGTTATTAAAACCAATTCTGAAGTACGAGTTCACTAAGTCGGAGGATATACCTACCATAGCAGTTTGTCTTGAAACAAAAAACTAATCAGTCGACTTTTTTCTCAAAATAGATTTAACTTTATTCTCAAAATGATTAATAATGTATTTTTTTTTTATTAATTAATGTATTTATTTTAATGTAGGCCTAAAACTCCATCATAGGGGCGTGCTCAGAGTGGGGGGGGGGTCATGGGTGACACCAATTTCCCTGAAATGACTGCTCCAGCATCACTGTCCCTGGAGAGGAGTACTGTTAATTTTACTACCCCCAATATAACTGAATAATACACATGGATAGGGCCAGTGATTAGTCATGTTACCAGAATAATGCGCCTTGTGTCATTGCACTCTCAGGAGACAATTAAATGTAAGTATATTGAGTATTGCACATCCATCCACTGCAGTAACCCCTTACAAACAAGGAGTAAACATGAGCAAATTGATCCAAATATCAATAGTATCGATGCCAACGCTGGTGTTGGTGTCTGATTGATACTAACCTGATAGGATCGATACCTCAAACATGAATTGTGATAAATGTTTTTCTGGTAAGTGTCACATCTGTTTGATTTTAAGCCTGTAACGCATTTAAACAAAAGAAAGTTGATTCCGAGACGGGCACATTTACAAAAAACTGCAGTTTCAAAGTACATGAAAACCTGAAACCTGTGTTGTTGCATTAACTAGAAAATTAACGTTCTGAATTTCTAAATTGATGATAATTTGTCTCATAAATCGTGACACACTATATTTTAAAATCAGCGATATACTAAGTAATTAAAGCTGTAGCATTAGTGGTACAGAGTACTTCTTAAGCCAACCCCTTAAGCAGCTGAAAGACAAAGTTCTCAATAACATCAAAAAGCTTTAATTACTCAGTAACTCACTGATTTTTAAACATAAATCTACAATTATGAAGTGTTGTTATGGATAAATCTGCCCAGCAACAATGTGACATATGAATGATTAATGTATACTCTTACTTTGAAACTGAAACTTTTGTACCATTAGTAATAGCAAGTGTTTAAGTACATCTTTGTTTTAGGCTCTTGCACATGTAATACCAATTGTATGAAGGCTCGGGGGCTCCTCATCAGTTCTCTACATTGTGCTGATTTTCGATCAAATACTCTGATTTTGTGACTGCTTCTTTCAGTCCTTTCTCATTTCATTCGTAGCCTTTAGTCACATTACTCCACCTTGCCATGTAACCTTTTAGGTAAAACTATTGTCTAGACATACTTGAGTGCAGACTAGCTTCCCCTTTTTTTTAAAAAAAAAATCTTTGTTTTGGTAACTTCCCTTTCACAGCTGACTGTGGGTGACAATTCTTAAGACAGACCCGTGTGTATCTATGCGAGATCTGACTGCAGTGCCTTCAAACAATTGGTGTGATATTTTGCAGTGACAATGCATTTTCCCTTGTGGTTTGTCATTTCGGGTATGGGTAGAGGAAGTTGATTTCTGTTCACAGAGTTTATTCTATGCCAGTACAGTAACTGACTACATCCCTGTCAGGCGTGAGTTTGTTTAAATAGGGGAAGAAAAAAGTTACATCTTTGCGGTGTGTGGTGCCTGCAGGGCTATTTCTTGCTCTGAGCTATAGTGTTCAGATGCAGTCAATATTTGAGCCATATATTTGTTCTTGCTAGTGTGAGCGTCGCCATATGAAATTCACGGTCATAAAGACTCCTTAGCTATGAGTTCCCCTTTAGGTCTCTACACTTCTGGACTCAATATTCAGCATGTGGATAAAACTAAAAGCAATTTTAATATTTGGTGACCTTCTCCAAGCAAGCATTCCTATACAAGCTTCTGTCGATAAAACACTGCATTGAGACCATTTCAGCCAGGACCTGGAAATGTTTTGGAAACCTGAATAAAATTTTGCTTCTGTGTGGTGATCAATATGAATACATCTGCTACCTTTATTGCA